CTGTGCGCCTTGCAATATCGATTGGGCAGTTGTGGTTGCCAATAAGCGTACAAGAGCTAACCAAGACTATAAACTTACCTGAAAAGAGCGGTTTGTAATTGTTGCAAATATTGTTTCTTCATTCGCATTGTGGGGAAATGGAATAGCTTGCCAGGATACATTGTCCACGCCGAATCATTGTCTGTTTTTAAGAGTAGACTTAAAACTTTACTTGAATATTTATTGAATATTTATGAATCTGTAGCCATTAAATTTTATCTTTTGTATGTTTGTAATCAGGGAAATTGTTTTTATACAGGGCTAACCTCACGATTTTCCCTTTTCAGGATGTATTTATTACATTTGCGTTCTAGCTTCCTGAATAAATGTTATGTTATGTTATGTTATGTTATGTTATGTTATGTTATGTTATGTGGATTAGCCGCTCAAGTACTTTAGACACAACAGGTACCACGGATATTGGATGGTAGTTTTTCGGGTGATCTTTTGCAATGTTTTATACAAGTGCTAGTTTAAAACACCTTGAATCTGTTAGGAATGAGAAATTGAAATTAGTTTTCAAGTATTGTAACGCTAACAAACTATCCATTAACCTAAGACTTACTATATGGCAATCTCATCCTCAAGAACAGGTGGACATATACATAGACATAGAATTGAGCGTAAATGTCAAATAAAGTATTTAGGTATATTCATTGATCAAAATTTACATTGGGAACCCCAAATCCAGCATATCAACAATAAATTAGGAAAAAAAATTGGAATTATTAATATATTACGCTATTATGTAGATGTTCACACTCTAAAACAGTTGTATTATTCCTTCATTTATCTATATCTAACTTATGGTATTATAAGCTGGGGTAGTGCCAGTAAAACTAGATTACAGAAGGTCAAAACAAAACACAATAAATGTGTACGCAGCATATTCTTTGCTCATAGCAGGGATAATGCTATGTCCTATTTCAATCTTTGCAAATCCTCACACTCCAAAACATTTATAAATTCAAATGAACTCTCTTTCGACATAAAATTAAAAATGACTCCACAGACATCCCAGCAATATTTTCTGGAACTCTTACACCAGCTTCTGAGGTTCATACCCACAATACCAGATTTGCGACTAATTTTAATGTTTACAGACCAAGAGCGAATAATAACTATGGTACTACTACGTTTGCTTTTGTAGCTTCAAAAAATCTGGGAATCTATCCCCTTTGAATTAGAAAAACTTTGTTATAATTGTTTTTACAAACAATACAAAATGTATCTTTTAAATACTCAATCTGTTTCTTGAGTGCTAATGTAGTTTGCTTTTGTTTTTTACTGTTATGTAAATGCCTATACTGTGCGTGTTCATGCCAATTAATTGTCTGTGGCGGTGAACAACTCGAAATCTTAAACTATTTTGGTCACTGCGCACATTTTTCTTTTCACTACTTGTGTAATTTAGTTTGCCTATATCTCTCCTTTTTAATGTACGTTATTGTAGAAATAATTCTTTGTAAATAGTGCAAAAAAAAAAAAAATTGAAAAAAAATTAAGAACACATTTGTAACGGGGCAGGAACTGGAAACGCAATAATCAAGAAACCGTGTGCTAGATTTTTATTGCAATTTATCAGATATTGAGAATTGCGTCGAAAACAAAAAACTAAACTGACTAATTGAACGATGCAATGCGAGGTTGAACTGTCCTCGTTAGTGACAGTCAAGATTAATCAAAAATTTTGGTAGCACAACCTTTTAGAGCAGTGAACTGTATCAACCAGATTATATTAGAGTATGTTTTTATAAGCCGACTTAATTGAACAACAACTTCCCAAAAAAATTAGCTTATAAAACGTTTTTAGAGGAAAATTTCTTCTCATTGAATTTAAATCAGCACTACTCAGCTCTTTTTGTTGTAATTTTCTTCCTGGATATGATATTCTCCTATCTTAAATGCTATCTGTATGGAAATACACATGGCCTCATCCCCCTTGCATTTTTACAGTAAGTTATTTGAGCCTAACCCTTGCACATCAAAAATTTTAGACACTTTCTTTTTTTTCGCTACTAAATCATAACTAAGTATTCCTGGTTGTCATAGCCCTCCAAGTTCACGTATACCTGCAAATGGAATGAAACCAGGACTTACTAAAGGCCGATAATTTAATAAAGAAATTATTGATATTGATGTCGGTATAGTCAGGATTCGGGATGAACATTGTTAGTATCAAAATGCAAAGTGTGACAGGCCTCATATCAGCTGATATCCGCGAAAAATCTTTTAAGGAAGTGTTTAGAAATGATGTTTAACTAAAAGTTCATTTCGCAAGAATACATTACTTCCCCCCATTCAATATTACTCAATCACTGAATGCAAAGTATTAGACTGTACAAGGGGAGAGAGAGGTGAAACTAAGGATATAAGGATAAGAATGCAATACATGTATCAGAAGACAATCCAGATGTACACCCCTTTCCATCTTTTTTCTCAATTTTTTTTCTTTCTTCCAGTAAAAATTTATCGGACTCTTCTCTTAAGGCTATACTGTAGAAAGGTAAATTGTTTTTGGACCATAATAGTTCTCGGTATAACGAGGCTCTCTTAAATTTTTAAAAATCGAAAATCCACAACAAGCCAACCTACACGTCGTCCAGAAGTCTTTTGACTGCAAAACAAATCCAGCTGAAAGTTGGTCTGTTTTCGGGCTGTTCATTCCAACACTCCAATATAATGGCATACCTTCAGATAAATGCGAAGTGAGCCTTACAGGACAGTATTCTGAGATCGAGCTCAGTGGGAAGGAAGGTCTTAGAACTTCCACAGCGGAGTAAGTTCACATCTTTGATGCTTGACTCCTAGCGTCCCTAGCCTAAAAGCAAAGTCGCTCTACATTCATCCCTAGATCTTTCCGAGATGAAACACAGTGAAGAATGAAAATACTAAACAGACAAATTGCTCCGACTCCAGTTTTGGCAAACATTTCACTTACAATTTTTCTGAGACGTGGTTCGGTTTTGGCATGCGGTATCCACCCTCCAGCATGGGAATGAGCTCTTGCACACTCATATCAGGATATGGCGATCCGCCTGTTAGAGGGAAGATCCGATATCATCCTCTTTTTTCAGTATCCATTTAATATTACCATCAGTATTCAACTTATAGGAAGATAGAATTCTATAAAACTTTTTAAATCAGTGTTCGCAAGGCGCACAGGACTGAACGCATGCAATATCGATTGGGCAGCCTGTTTCACCCGCCTAACTTGATGTTTTTACACCAAATTCAGTTCTTTCATTGGCATAAACTTATAGTTTGTTTTGCAGTGTGGGCATTGTTCATTTGCTATGTTTTATTTTTTATGCTTGTTTTGGCTTTTTTTTCTTTGTTTCATTGTTTTCCATCGTCTTTTCTGTACAGTGTGCAACGTTTTCATTCTAGAAAGAATGGTCCTGAGAACGAACTGATTGAGTTGACATACCAAGCGTAAGCAGTTCCCACATTACAATACCGTAAGACCATCTAGACAAAGGAGATCAAAATACCATTTTAATCAAATGACATTTAGTTCAAGGAAGATTAAATCAATCATTGCTGTTTCTAGATACAGAAATTAACATCAGACTTGGGGGAGCTCCACAAAAAATCTTTCAAAAAAGCTTAAAAGAAAAAGATTCCCACCAAATAACTAGGAACGTCAATCAAGGATACCTTTTCGTAAGACATTGGACTTGACACTGTACTCAGACATCATATAAAACACTTGAGAAAAAACGGTTAACAGAATAAATGTTCGGCGTTTTTAATTTCTTAAGTCCTATCACTTTGCGTCGATTTTTAGTAATTTTGAACAGAGAAAGTGGAGGATAAATGTATCAACCTACACATCACTCTTTGTTGTCGACTCAGCCTTGAAAATTGATTCTGGGGACATCCATTTTATTGGTAGTCGTGCCTGAAAATTGAAATCAACCCATCAGTAAATTAATACAGCGAAACAATTAAACGTTTGTTCGTTCGTTCGTCAAGGAAGCAGTTCATTAAGAATCATAGTATCGTTTTAAATATTGCAGCGTTTAACTCATTTGGCGTTATCTTGCATCCCAGCACTTTAAAGAGATCCATCTCACTGTAATTCAAGTAACCTGAGTCCTTCTCGTATAGATATTTTTCTCCAATCTTCGTGCCAGTCCAAAGTCTGAAATTTTGCACACTCTGTTTTCTCCAACTAAAACATTTCGAGCTGCTAAATCCCGATGAACCACCCTCAAAAAACCCAAAAAAAGACAAAACTATCTAAGCTAGTTAATCCTGCCACGAAAAAGTCCCTTTAGCGTCAATACAACATTCAGCTTTCGCAATATAATATCTCATATTTATTACCTGAAATTAGCAAACTGTATATTGAATGAGCACTAGGAATGAAAGGACTGGTACTTCCTAAGTTTTAGAAATAATTTATTGTCTGAGCCATTCCATCTAGCATTCCATTCCCGACATCTCTCACCTTAGAAGTGCACAGAAGAGATCTTCGAGAATCCAGTTAAATCAGTACCGTTAATCTAGCTGGCAGTGTAGTCACATTTTGTTTGCGAAGAATAAAAGATGAATATTTCAGAATAGAAAACCGATGGAAAACTATATTTGGAATGTGAAAAGACGTAACTAGATTTTCGTTCCCCGTTTCCATCCAAATAAAGTTTGAAAAACAAGTAAATAATGTAATTTTCTGGCGATGTAACCCCTTTAACCATTCATTAGGAGTGACTATGCACAACTGAATGAAACATTAAGGTCATGTTGATCATCGAACAAATTCTAAATTTCATTATCATAGGAAACGTATAGACGGAGAAAAGTGTGGAGATTATGCAACTAAAATTCAAGCCCGCGCAATAGAACATGAAAGTGCCCTGTGGTCTACATCGGCTAAATAAGTACGTTATTGACTTAAAGGGAACGTACTCTCTGGAAAAATTTTACTTATATCAAAAGTTCCTTGCTTGTATCGTCCTAATTGACTGTTCACTTGAGCTGAAAGAGTTTTAGTTGCGAACAATAACGTTCCAAAATCGGCATTTCCAAATCGAAATCCGCCATCTTTGTTATGACGAAACTACTTAGATGTAGTTATAGTCAAGCATGCTAAATTATATCCCTTCTGAAGTTGAGGTAAACAAGGAAAACAATGGCGAAAGAGCGCAAGTTATTAAATTCTCGACTTAGATTTTAATCTAGCCGAGAGGGTGTAATACATCCATTTATGTCTCAAACGAAACATGGCTCGTCTTCAGGGGAAGGAGATACCTCTGTTGGGGAGAAAGAGAGAGAAAGTCAGGAAAATTAGTTTTAAGAAGAACCGTCAATCGCGAGTGGTTCTCTTTCTTGCGGCAACTTTCTAGAGAATCCTACGGAAAACGAAAATGTATGCTCCTAAGAATTAAATGCACTAGGACACCGACTCAATTTGAAAAGCAAAGGTTTTTTCCTCAACAAATCTAAGCTGTGGAGTGATAGTTATTTTGCTAAACGGAAGACCGCAGTGCCCGCGACGGATTCATTTGACATTACCACCTTGAAATGAGACGAACTATTTTTGCAGTCACAGGAACCCAGCTTCGGAGTATAACTGAACACGAGCCACGTGGAACTAAGAACAGCCCCTGCTGGCATGCATTACTGTTAATTTGCAACGGTGTTTTTTATCTTTATTGCTGAGAATTACCTTCAACGCAATATTTTTTCATTCTAAAATGTTTGAAATGTCACCACTTGTGAGAAGAACAGCTTTGTTACTTTCGAAGCGCGCCAGAAAGCCCCCTCTGTCATACAGTGTTTACATTAGAAATTACCTCAATATAACCGAGACTAAAATGAAACTTTCGATTTCTTTTAAAAGCATAAGCACTGCATGATTACGTCAAGTAGTTGGTTGGAAGAGAAATATTTTCATATTATTCTTATCATGTCCAATCGATATGATATAGTGAAATATGGGGACCTGCCTAAGGAAGGATAATTTTTATTTGCCGCAAGCGTGTCTGTCTCGATTATTTGCCGGCAATGTATTAAATGTCATTTAGTTTTTCTTCGTAGGAGAATCTGACTGGTGGGGTAAAGAAAATTTACTCGGTGGACTCATAACATATATTTATATACTGCTTGAAAAAGGGGATGATGTTAAATATCAGCTCTTGTTAATGGTGGCGACTGAGAATTTACCGCACACGGTGTACCACCATTTTGAGCTTCAATTTATTCGCTCACAATAAAATGGTTTGAAAAAATTCATAGAATAAATAACTGAAATTTGTGTTGAATGTGGAAAAGGTAATCATAGCTTTTAGTTCGAACCGAAGGTCAACAAGGAAAACTTACATGCCTGTACATCTCGCTGGAAGTTTTCGTTTTGGCAGTTCTGAGGTTTTGCAGGGTTTGCCAAGCCGTCGTCGCGGGTTATTTTTGCCGAACAACTTTTCTTAAATATTTCACTTTTCAGTAGCCTGTGGAGGCTTTAACCGTTTGCTTTTGAATTTTAGATTGTATTTTGACATTCAACCTCACGACAGTTCACTTCATTTCAATTATGAGGAGTATTAGAAATTTTTTTCACAAAAGTCAAACTGGTCAACAAGGACAAAGCGCCGAACAAAGTTTGACTATTGATATGTCAGAACTGACGTAATATCCAAGATGGCGTTTTTCTAACCACGAAAGTTGTAAAAATGGCCAACTTCAAAACGCTCTTGTCACTAATACAAAGAAAGCTGGACGAAATGGCAGTTATTTTCAAACTCCTGAGGAAAAAAGTCTCCTAATTGTCAGTTAACTTTTCCCAGACCGTAATTTCCCTTTAAACACCACATTTCTCACCTTCATTGATGCCAAATAACCCATGCCATCAGCAATCATCCATGCAAAAGACAAGAGGTCTTTTTCATTTAGTGCTGAACTTGGTCCCTTTTCTCCTGTGTTATAAGTGTCCTCAATTCCTCTGCTCTTACGCAGGTATCCTAACAAATCACCATATGGCAGATACTCCAAAACTATAAACACAGGATCTGAAATTTTGAAAGTATACTGATCGCTTCCAAGTGGACAAGATTAAATAAGAGTCCCAGTAAAAGGGCTAACATTAACTGTTTTCAAACCTATCGGTTTAAGTTTGAAAAGCGTCTTCAGGACAGTTTCGCGAACAATTGTGCATCTCAAGATTGGATCTTTCATTCATTTGTTCTTCATCACTTAAACGGTTGTCAATTATACAACTACGTTTGGTGCTGTGTCATTTGTATAAAACTAGACCCTATGGCTTTTTGCAAGTCTCGCGCCTACTTGGAAAGCCATTTGGTTGGTAACTATTATTATTATTATCATCGTTATTATTATCAATATTATCATTAGTAGTAATAGTAGTGCTAGTAGTAGTCTTTTTTGTATAAGAGAATTTTTACAACCAAATTACGGGATTCTTAAGCTATTAGGGCAAACTGGTTTGACCACTTTAGTCTAACAATATTGAGTATAGAAAGTTGACTTCATAGAAATTCTCCCAAAGTTTAATGGTCCTAACTTTCTTCCAAATGGTATGATGATCAACCATATCCCGATGGCGAAAGAAGAGAGAAAGAGGCATCGACCTCTGAAAGATTACATGACAGACCAGAGAAAATTCATCGGAATGCAAAGTATAGTGTCGACGAAAACAAATACAAGAAAGAGAAAACAAAGAAGACGTATTTGGAGAGGGAGAAGAGGAGGACGGAAATGATTTCCATGATTGCTATACAAGCTATCATTAACATAACTTATAAAAAAGATCAACAAACCAAAAATATGAACAGCAAAACGAAAATATAATAGGAAGACACCATGAACAAAGCACCTTCTCTATACAATGACCAATGAGATCCACGACGTGCGGATGAGCCCTCAGAGATTTCATAACTTCCAACTCCTTCATGATGCACTCTAGGTCCACCGTTTCGGCGTTCTCTGAAACAGGTTAAAACGAAGACACACTAAAAAGTTGCCGTTACACTTTAGGTGTATTCGCGTTCGTGAAGCAAGATATTATCAAGTCGTGCTCGTTTCATTGTCAATTGCTGACCCTTAGGACAGGAAATGATAAATGATTTCATTCAAACATAATGACAATCTTTTTAATTAAACATAATCAAATATAAATCTTTACTTATTTACTGTGCAACCAATAAGACAACCGTCTGGCTAATCCACCACAATACCGACTCATCAGATTTACCTTTGTTGTAAACACTTTAGACGGGAAGGAAGGCGGCGAGAATCTCTATTTTTAAAGATAAAGTAACGAATCTGTTTTTCACTGGAGTTTTAATGCGTTGCTTCAAAATTTTAAAGGCGTAGATAAAAAAAAAAGTGTGCCTTGACTAATAGATATCACCGGAGGCTACTCATAGGAGACCATCGTTAAAGAAAACTTCCGAGTGTAACTGAAACATTCCACAGATTTTCGATCTAGACTTTGCCATATAATTTTTTTTTACAATTGTTTTATTCATATTTCATGTTGGAGTGTTTTTTATTTCACTTTAATTCGTTTTGTTGTTTTGTTTACTTCTTTAAGATATGATAAGAGTGCTAGACAAAGTATTTGGTGTCCCACAATGCATGGAGGGGATATACGATTTATCACTTTCCGGGTTACATATTCATCATACGAATAACATGTATTGATTGTTTAATATTGTATGCAGCAGGAAATGGATATTATTCCACTTTTGACACAATATTAGAGAAGCTGTATTCTTATATTTACACTTCGATCTCTACATATCTTGTTCCCTAAATTAACTCCACTTAAATGAAATACAATGGCTAAAGTGTGGAAAGAATCGTAAAAAGCTACCTTTCAGGGATTTGACAGCCACTTGTAGTTGGGAAGGCTGATAAATTGCCTTGGAAACTTGGCCAAAGTTCCCGGTCCCAAGCAATTTTATGAGCTTTAGTTGTGTGCGATCGAGCTCAAAACCGTCGCAAATTTCATTTGTGGTTTGGTCTTCAACCACAACCAGAGGGTATTCAGGAAGCATTGGCACAGCTAGGAAAAAGACATAGAACAAGATACATTATTTCGCCGCCATTAAAGTTAAACAATCGAAATTATTGAAAGTTTGGGTTAAAAAAGTCGCCCTTAAAATCGAACCAAGTGCCCCCTTCACGCCGAAACGATAAAGGACATGCTGAGGTAGGGGAACTTAGAACCCTCCCATTTGACTCGCCTCTTCCACGAGAACGTTAATGCTAGGTACACCCGTTCTAAAGAAGAGGGAAGTTTTACGTACGCAACTGTAGTTGTGATTGGCTTTTAAATCATCATCAACGTCATTATTATCATTAAATTTTATTATCAGTGCCATCATTATTATCATAATTATT